CTACGAAAGTAACTCTATACTGATACTTATTATTAACACCCAACTCTCGCCTACCCAATTTAGACAATTCGCCCTAGTTGTTACCATGGAAATTTTGATTTCAATTTTTTAAAACACGTAAATTTCAGAAATACGTTATTCCAATAAAAATTTCGCTTGAAGATGGAACAGAGCTTACTTTAACTCAATTTAATTTAAATAATTATATTGAAGTTTTCGGCTCTTGTTTTGAAACATGAGACCTCTTATGTCATGATCTGGAATCATATTTTAAATAAATAATTATATTTATGCTCTACTTTTGTATCGAGCACTATTTTTTAAAAATAATAACTAAAAATACTAAGGACTTTGGATTATTTACCTCACCAGTTCCTTCCTATTTTCTATATATTTTCACACACACACACACACACACACACACACACACACACACATATATATATATATATATATATATATATATATATATATATACTTTAAAAATCAGGAGATTAGATGAATCCTCTGCCTCGGTTTCAACATTACGGTATGCACAGGCGATTTTTATCAAATGACCTCTTAACGATTAATTTTTTTAAACTAATGGACACTATATTAAAAAAAAAAAAATAAACAAACAAACGCGTGTCGTTGGGTGTGATAGAGACCAAGAAGAAGAAGAAGAAGAAGAAGAAGAAGAAGAAAAGCAAGGGTATAATAAAAGTATCGGTGGGGTGGGGTTAATTGAAATGTACATGTTATTTATCCAGTCTCATATGTGCATAAAAGAAATTTCCTAATATGTATGAACGGACGCAAAGCCATTATTGCTAATTTTTCCTTTTGGCAGAGGTCGCAAATATTTTTCGCTTATATATATATATATATATATATAAATTTCTTAATTTATATATTAATTTTTTCAAATATATATATATATATATATATATATATATATATATATATATATATGATAAGCAAATATAAATGGATATAAATCTGACAGAATGAAGAAAATATCTGGAAAAACAAAAACAAAATCCTTAAAATGCGATTATTTTTTTTTTTTTTTGTTTTAATGAATATTGTCCTGAAGAAGGTTATTAAATCGAAACGTCAGACGTCGACATTTCATTCATATTAAAACAGCATAATCGCATTTTAAGGATTTTTGTTTTGTTTTTCCAGATATTTCTTCACATATATATATATATATATATATATATATATATATATATATATATATATATATATATATATATAGGGGAGAACATGATATATTCATTTCTATATATCGAAAACAATGTTATTTTTCTCGTTGTTTGCTTTTTATTGTTTACATTTGTATTCTACGGCAAGATGTCTGATTCGAACCTTTGATTCCAATGTTCAATAAATACACAAAACAAGAAAGAGTATATTGCTTCGATAAAGATTTTAGAATCCTTCATTTTATAATAATAATGAACAACAGTTTTGGCTTACGTAGGAAATTTAGCAGATGATGTCAAGAGGAATATTAGTGATATCAATATACCCAAAGCAAAGTATTTTACTAAATGGAAGATTCTAAGTGATAGATGTGTGCAAGCAAGAATATTTTCCTAGCAACTTAACATTCACTGCCCAATAACCCACAGATGAAATCGGTGTAACGATACGGTTGGGATTTTTTATTGTCTATATTTCAGAAAAATGTTGCTTCGAAAGTAATGTCCCTTAATTAATTTCCCGGAAACTACGGAAGCATAGTCATGACAGTTATTCATTTCAGATATTAACAAATGTGTATGATTCTACCAGTGTAATCACTACATGTGATCACGGCCCTTTTTTGGTCGCCGTTGATGAAAGGCAACGATTGCAATTTTTCCACATAGAACAATTCAATGCTATAGATACGGGTTTATTTAGTTAGACTGAGAACTTTGAAGCACCCCTCATAAAAGCACCTACTAATAGCAGCTACTACATCTAATAGTAAAATAGGTAGATTATTATTATCATTTTTTTTTTTTTTGTAGAAACAATAGTACGCCTACACGCATCTGGATATGCGTGTGTATCTGTGGGAGGTGAGAAGTTGATACACTTAAAAATTTGCCCTTTGTATTTACTTTCAAGATTACACCTTTTTCAACGTCTGCCATTTTCAATCTAGTCGTGACCATGTGACCCTCTGACATCTGTCATGGCTGCCAGCGCAATGTCTCTCAGCAAGCAATAATTGCTTTCCTCTCCATCCAGAATCATTAGTTGTTCTTATTTCTTAAACAGTTCGACCGGATCAAGTCATCTGGAACTGATTTATCTGCTTGTAGATTTACATCGAAATCGACAGAGCTGCTCTTTGGGGCTTATTAACTCATTCTTCTTGAATAACTTCATTCTTTTCTGCTCGGTTCGGGTAGCGTTTCAGTTTGCGCGGCAAACAAAAGCTTCTAATATGGCGGGCAAAATGCTTCACATTTCTCTATCATACCTAAAATTGATTATTTAGGACATCAAAGAAGTGAAGTATACAATGAACACAATGAAGGAACAAAGCGTAAAAATGAATCCAATTTTCGCAAAAAAAAAAAAAAAAAAAAATGAAGACACTAAAAGAAGCTTTTCCTTTTGTCAAATGAATGAAAGAAAAGCATTATCCATTTTTTTATTGTTCGTTATATTTCTACAAAGAATCACAACAAACAAGGCTATGTCATAGGATAGTAAACTGCTGTCTATACTGTTGCTTTCGATCCCAATGGGAATGAATATTTATTGTATACAAATACAAATATGGCACAAGGTCAAAATGGGGAATGGGCTAGGCTAGTCCTCATTAGTCTAATTTTAAGTTAACTAGTCACATTCACTGACAGAAACATTCTGGTGCTCATGTCATTCATCTTGAGGTTCTTCATCTAAAGAAGGGCCTGCAATGTAATCGATTCTGATTTGGTATCTCGACCTCAGTCATATTTTCACCAACGTGTCGTGGCTTCCCTCTGTCTTTTCTACAAATATTTTCATGGCAATTGCTCTGACAAGCTTTTTTCCCTCGTGCCCCGATTGCCACTAGCTTGACCTATAGGTACCACCCGTTTATTGTTGGAATAATTCAACCGCCACTTCTACTTCAACCGTTTCTTTTCTCGCATTTCTCGCCTGTGGAACTCACTCCCGTTTACTTGCTCCACTGATACCTACAATCTTCAAAAATTGAAATACAACATCAATCGGTAATCTTCGTGAATGCCATTCATCTTTTGTCCCTTTCTCAATCCTCCCTATACTCAGTCTTTTCTCTCATTTTCATTCTCTCTAACCTTCTGCGTATTAGTGGCCTTTCTTGGGATGAAATGATTTTCAAAAATCCATTATAATAAATACTTCTACTACAATACAACTTTTAGATAAAATATACAACTGGGGTAGCGAATAGGGCTTTTATCACTCTACTGAAATTCTCCACTTTTGACAAGGAAGGGATAGAAAAAACCCAAAAAGCGACAAGGAATTATTGTTTGAATGAATCCCAAAAATCGGCAAGTAAGAAAAAATTCCGACATGGAAAATTTTATCACTGCACGTCAGAAATGAAATCATGTCAAACGCAACCCAAGAGAAAAAGTCAAAAAATAAGACAATCTGCAGTGGGATTTGACTGTTTGGTCAAGAATGTGAAGTTAATTACAATGAATATTTATTGTATATAAACATATAAGTGTGGCACAAGATCAAAAAAGGGGGATTGGGTAGACTGGTCATCACTGGTTTAACTTACGTAGTCACATTCACTGACCCAAGCATACAGTATAATAAATCCTTCTACCACATTTATACAGAAAATACATCCATATCCCAATCATCAAAACAATACGTGTTCTCCATGAGATACTAAACTAATTCCGCATATTTACAAGCATGTGGAGAGGAGGATAAAAGGTATAAATATTTTTTATTTAGAAAATAATAAAAATGCATGACAAGATGAAAAATGATACAATGAAAATGTTAATATAGGTCTCTCCCCATGGCTAAATGCAACAGAAAAGCAAGTCTGTAGAATTGTGTATTTCGCCTCCCTGTTAGTGACTTTGCAAGAGAAATGTGGCTCTACAGAAAGATACTGAGGATACCATAGAACCGAACATGTGAGCAACGATAAGGTTTGAGAGAAAATAGAAGCAGAAAGTAAACATACTTAACACCAGGAAGAGGCAGTTGAAATTTTTGGTACACGTAATGAGGAAAGAGGGCTTGGAAAATCTGATACTCACAAGACAGGAAAATGGGACAGAGGAAATCAGCGCGTAACATACTTGATGAGCTTGAGTAATGGATGGTAGAATAGGGTTTCGGAGAAATAACAAAAGGACAAAACTTATTAAGAGCTACAAGGGAGAGGAAGATGTGGAGGATTATGATCGCCCATGTTCTGAAGGGACACAGCATATAGAAAAAGAAGAAGCCCTCCTCTCAGCGATACCGTATTGGTTAACCAAATTGGCTGCATACATAACCATGGAATCCAAACTACTCAATTCCGCTAGATAGTCGTTGACTCTAGACGTTGGTTCATTCACACTAATTTCTGACACTGTAATAAGCTGATCTAATTTTTCTTTTGTATAATGCTCCATCTATGTGATTAATGGAGAAGTAGTGATTGAAAAAGGATATTATGATAAATCTATTGGTTAACTACTTATATATGATATATAATCTACCTATCTCGATCTGTTCATATCGATCTGCAATCAAAGGAATATTTCCTTTTCGACGTAAGTACCTTAATGAACATCGATTGTGAATATTTGTCTACTTCTTTAGACATCCAGAAGGAAATAAAGTAGATATTCTTTAACAACAAACAATTTTGAAATGAAACCCAAACAAGCATTGCACACATTCACAAAGAAGAAATATAAGATTTGTTCGTAAGTGGATATAACGTACCTCACTGGAAATGGAACTCGGATCTCCAATTCTGAGCCATTATTTATTTAAACATCCCGCACATCCAAGATAACAGCACCTGGTATACACAAGCAGTCACCCACTTAGGTACTGACTAGACTCGAAGTTGCTTAACTTCGGTGATCATACAAGAACAGGTGTTTTAATGTGATATAGACATTAGCCTAGATAATTACATAGCAACAGAAACAGATAGATAGATAGATAGATAGATAGATAAATAGATAGATAGATAGATAGATAGATAGATAGATATGAACAGGCATAGATAGATAGATAGATAATGAACAGACTGAGATAGATAGATATGAACAGACATAGATAGATAGATAGATAGATAGATAGATAGATAGATAGATAGATAGATTTTTGGGTAACGGATTTCTAAAAACTAAGTCTGTTCCATTTCGTTGATTCCCAAAATACAAAACCATACCAAAAGGAATTCAATTCTGACTTTCTTTACTGCACTCGCAAAAAAAGTGTTAGTAATATTTAGTAATGGTAAACAATTAGTAATAATATCTTTAATATTGATTACCTGAAGCATTGTCAACTACTATTCACTTTTGGCCGGTATTCTTTTCTTAAATTTACTTGCTTTTTGTCGTAATTGTTCAAAGCATCAGTCTATGAGCATTTAAAAACAGTAATTTTAGCAAGAATTTTCCATTAGGTGAAGAATTGTCAACCATTATTAATTTTTGACCGGTATGTTTATCATCTTAATTTCACATGTATTTTTATGACACTATTAGTAGTAGTAGTAGTAGTAGTAGTAGTAGTAGTAGTAGTAACATTATCTTGAATTTTATTATTATTAGATGGAGTTATTGTTCTTTTTTAAATAATATTTCTTTCATTTTAGTTGCTTTTCATCGCAACTACACACACCATCAGTCTATATGAAACAAAACTTCTAACAAGAATCGAGATCACAGCTTCTCTCGAAATCGCTTCTAATGATAAGTATAAATAAATGAAATAAATATTCTTCTAATACTACATGTGTCTGTAGAGAAATCGGTAAATTTGGCGTTTGAAAACAACAAAGGAGGAATAAATCTGTATGGCTGGGATTGATCTTTTTATATCTTTGGCTCTCATAGATCGAAAGAAACTGTCACAGCAAGATACCAGGAATAAAATATCCATCGTCGTGGGTGTATTTTCTCCCAAAATATCCAAATGTTGTTTTTAAACTAATCAAGTGACTGAAGAAGAAAACTGATATCTCCTGTTTGTTCATGCTGCCATCTACGCAGACACGCACACACACACACACACACACACACACACACACACACACACACACATATATATATATATATATATATATATATACCCAAGTATAGGATTGGTGTATACGGAATAATATTCAAATATGTGTGGCAAACATTCTCGACGTGTGTAAAAGTTAGTGAGACGTTGCATGATGTTTTGAGAAATTTTGTTTGGTTAGATTTTTCATTAAAGTATATCTCGTGCGTATTTTGTGTGTATATATATATATATTGATTTTTATGTATTCGGAAGAGATAAGTTACTTTCATAAATAATGGGTCGGTAGAAAAATGGTGATAGAATGTTTTTTTAAACGTATCTTAAAAGGGGTTATGTTCTTTTTTTTTTTTAATAAGGTTAGCATTGGTGAAATTATGTTCTACGTTGTTGCGATGTAATACGAGAGAATTTAAATATTTATCTAAACGCAAATCTCTTTTGTGTTCCTGAATGCGGGTCATTATATCACGTGAAGTCTCCCAAATGTACATGTTATTGCACTGTAAACATTGGATTTGATAAACTACAGGATTTGAATTGCTTTTTATTTCATTTTTCATCCTGATTATATCGCCAATAGTTTTGAAGGTTGTTGTAATAATCCTCATATTAGGGATGACTAATTCATTTGTGAGTTTAGGTGAAGTGTTGGAAGGTAGAATAGAAGGTAGTTCTTAATATAATCCTCTTCTTCACTAATGTATTCAGGGCTACAAGGTAAAAATCGTATAAAATGTATTAGAGCTCTAAGGTAAAATATTATAATTATTCCAGATTTTATTTTCGCGTTTTGGTGGGAATAGAAATTGATAAGGTCATGTTTGTTTTTGGTAAATTTTAAATTCTAATTTATTATCGTTACGTATTAATAGGATATAGGATTTAGGCATGTATAAAAAAAAAAAAAAAAAAAAGAAAAAAGGAAAAGAAAAAATTAAAAGAAAACGGTTCAAAATCCATTACCTCATGCGTCCATTACAAGCCATAACAATAGGATCACAATTTAAGCAATATTCATTTATAAAAAAAAAATTTCTTGAATATTACTCGCTTACTTTTGCCTTACCAGACTTTGAATTAGGGCACTTTGTGTCCTCCATATATTTTGACTAACCTTTGAACCACCTGATAAATATTCATGTTAATTAATTTAAAAGTCTTGATAAACTAATGACATCCTTGCTTTTTAATACAAACACGTGCCACAAAATAAATCCTTACGTTTACCGTGATAAAGTCCATCAGGACGAAACGAATAGTTTTCCTCTTGTCTTTTATATATATATATATAAATGACCATAGTATAAATATATATATATATATATATATATATATATATATATATATATATATATATATATATATATATATATATATATATATATATATATATATATATATATATATATATATCTATATATATATATATATATATATATATATATATATATATATATATATATATATATATATATATATATATATAGGTGATATAATATATATATATATATATATATATATATCCGTTTAGGTGAAACCTAGCTAGGTTTGTCTGGCTCACTAGGTGTATCTAGGTCTGCTCTACGGTTGTATTGAGCTCTTTTGTTAGTTAGTTATTTACTCGTATCGGGGTTTTTTCTTTGGGCTTCAGACCTGCATCTGTGCGATTTTTTGTCGGCAGAAGTTTGTTTGTAGCTCCCTCCAGATTGATTTGATTAGCAAATCAAAAATTCGAGGGTTTTTCGAAACGAGTCTAGTTATCTATATATATATATATATATATATATATATATATATATATATATATATATATATATATTATTTTACACACACTCAATGTATATGTGTGTGTGCGTGTGTGTACGTGTATAAATAGGATATAGAATCCAGAGAAATTTGATTTTGCCAATATACCTCAGATCAGAACGAAACAAATATATGCTTATGTTTCTGTGCGTGTGCTTCCATATTTAATCGTTCGCTTGGTTCGGGATGAAAGAAATAAAGTGTGTGACTTTTGTATAAAAGCAATTATTTTAATATATGCTGTTTTCTTTTCAATTTTCTTGTTTTGTCTAAATTTGTTTATATTCTCTCATCTCTCCTGCATTGAATTTAAAGTAAATCTCTATCCGGTTTTTCAGAACAGAGTAAACGGCACTTGAGATTTCAACTGCGGAAGGAGTATGCTCACAGTACTCTAGACATAAGCGTCTTAGTGACTTTATCGCCTTCCTCGGGATGAAATGATTAAAAAGATATTTTTTCGACAACAATTCCTTCTTTTTTCCTGTTTATCTAATGACTAGACACAGTAATGAGTATGTCACGTCACATTGCATTTTCAGTTTAATGTTTTCCAGTAAAATTCCGACTCGTTCAATATTGAACGGAATCGTTATTTTCTTTGATAATCTCTGGTGAAAGTAAATGATTTTGAATGGCATAAGTTTGGATTTGAATGACAAAAATTCTGTCTACACAATGAATTCTCGTATGTCATGTATGAGAGACTGCTCAACTTTTATCGGGGATGGTTGCTTAAATATCTTTTTTGCTATGTAGCTCGTTGTTATAGTGGAACACACCTATTCTATAGTTAATAGACTCTTCCACCTAAAATAAGTAGGAGTAGTAGTAGCAGTCGAGAGTCGCTCAGTGATTCGATCTGAGTTCAGTCTGAAGTCGGACGACTGGCTGATCGGTTGAACTCTCTGCCTTCGGGCGGGGAGGAACCCAAACGAGGCTACGCCGAAGGGCGGAGTCTCTTTCGAGGAGGTAAATCGACCCTGAACCCGTTTATACGGGTTCAATGGGCATATTTTTGGCCGAGCCCACGGGCTCGGAGATCCCACGTTAAACCGGCCTTGTGCCACATGATGCTCACGTGTGTGTGTGTGGGGGGGGTGACTAAATACCGTCGCTCAGGGGTTGGTCAGTCAGTCGATGTCGGACGACCGTTAGTCGGATATTAAAGTATCAGCCACCACAACTAGATTACTGCGTCATTACCTATTATATCAAGTTCCTAACGTTTTGTACGTCGAACCTATTTTAGGACCGACTTAGTACAAATACAAGCCTCCACTGTGAAAATACTCTATCGTGCAGCTGTGATTATGTATTCGATAAAAATGAGGGATTAATTAATTCATTAGTTGAAAAATGAACAATTCATTATTATTAATTTTATTGGATGAAGCATTATTATTATTATTACTAATTTTATTACATAAAGTAGTACCAAACTTTATTATGTATAATAATGTTATTAGTTCAACATTATTTATAATTCTATTAGATGAAACATCAAATATATGGAACATTTTCAGTACTTATTGTCAATAATTTCATTAGATGAAGCATTATCATCAATTCTAACAAGTTAAGATGAAAGTAAATTGTGTATAAAACTACTACTGATAATCATTTCCCTCGCTATCCTGAATTACCTTCCCACCTCTTTAATAATTAAATTATTTTCAATAGCAAATATTCATACAAGTTTCAAATAGAAAAACTAATTCATTTTGCGCGTGTTTCCAAGATAAAACTCACCGCATTATAATTTAAACAGAATATGATATTAAATGTAATATAGAAAAAACGAATAAAAAGCAATACAATTGTAAATCCCGAAGCGAAATCCTGCGCACACAGACGCACATTAAAAATCAAGATGTCTGTCGATGCTTCGTCTGAATTGAAAGTGAAGTGGAAATGTCCGTTTTTCTTCCAAAGGACCCAATTAAATTGTCTGGATTTCCACATCGATTTTGTTAATCTCGACTAGGATCGTAATTATTTGTGTAGCAATAACAAAATGCCGAACACAAACGTCAATAAAAATATGATGAGAGATAAATATGGTGACGACATTAAATATAATCTATCGTGATTTTCAGATGATAAGCCATTGTGTATCGAGTCAGATTTTGACTTGAATGACATTGATTTCAGCTGGAGGGCTTACATTCATTCACGCTATTTCAACACAGATTACAAATGTGTCAACTTAAAAAAAAGTCCATGTCAAACTTAATGTTAAAAGAATTTATAACAAAAGTGACATTCTGTAAAATTAGACCTTTATGTTTTTTGATTGAAAAAATATAAAAATCTTGTTCATTTAAAGAAAGATTTGATAGTAGGAAAAATTTTAAAGAAATTTCAATTCATTTCAAAACATCAGAAGAAGCCCGTAGAGTACGTTTGGTAAAAGTTCGGTATCTCAATATCAAAGATGAAGATATTAGTTCGACTCGTTCATAGATACATGACAGCATCTCAACATAGGAATTCAAATAATATAAAGAAAGCGCAGAGAGTAGACTGTCCGAACTGATATGATAAAAATAAGAAAGATAAGGATATGACTTAGAATCTCTCATATACTCAAAGGCAAAATACTTTATCAAAAATACATAATATTTTAATACAATTTTATCTAACGGTAAAATTGGCAAATAACCGTTTCCATAGGCATTCTTTACACCAGTGTTTCGTAATATTTTGTAAGCAACGGCTCACTTAGAAGCAAATGAAAATATCACGGCATACTTAGTAAAATTTTTAAAGGGTGTATATTTAAATGTTATGAAATAAATCCATAGATTAAAAAATACACACAAATATGAATTTACTTTATTTTAACTATCGTGCAGCTTATTTAGTGTGAAATTAGTGCTTGGTGTTTTTTTTTTTTTTTTTTTTTTTGAGATTCCTTCAATGTGTGGTCGATAAACATACCCTCATTTCTTCTTCAGTTGGGCAAAATCTTTCTCACTTCATATTTTTGATGTTATTTAGGGTTGAGAAGCCTAACTCACATAAATAAGAAGTAGAAAATTGCAATAAAACTGATAAAACCTTGTGAGCTAATGTGGATTTTTTTTCGTACTGAAATTCAAAATGTATGGCTACCGTTGAATGTTTTATTTTGAGCACTTAAAAAATAAAAAAAATAAATGTTTAAGAAATGAATATTAAAAGGATGTATTAATTAATATAATCGAAGAATAGTGGAAGGAATTATTTTTTAAAAAGTTTAATACTTATTCATTTATTCAAATACTAACACTGGACAATTATTAATTCCACACACATTTCTGCATGCTTTGATAATATTTCGCAGTACATTTAAGAGGATCGCGTGTAACACTAGTGTGCCGCGGCAAAGGGGTTTGAGAATTGCTGCTTTACATGAACTTTTGGAGGTAATTGTAGGTTGAAATTTATAAAATATTTTTAAAACAGTTTTCAAATAATTTGACTTTTCAAGTCCATCAAAAGTTATCGCTCTTTCAAGTACAGATGGGAATTCCCTTTTTAACCAAAAAAATGAAAAACTTACGGCCACATCATGTTGAAACACTTGTTCCCGTACGTACAATGACCGAAGTTAAGCAACGTCGAGCCGAGTGAGTACCTAGATGGGTGACCGCTTCGAAATAACAGTTGTTGCAAACCTGTCTGTGATATGATGTAATGGATAATTGTTAAACGGAGAACTCTAGTTTTCGGTTCGTTATATTCACTTAGGCGCAAATACATTTGGGAAAGCTATGAATCCACCTCTTCTCCCCCTTCGCTATGAGTAAGTCTTGTATTACTAAGCCATTAAGATCTTATAATCTAAAATTATTTTTTCTCTTTAAATAACCTACAATAGATTAATAAGCCGTGGGAAATGAATGAATCAATTAATAAAGTAAAAAAAAATCCTTATTTCAATAATGTATTCCGAGTTCATAGTTTGAAATTGTGTAGTCTTCATAAAGCTTTTATAATTATTAATAGGAAAATTTAAGCATTGTTCCTTCAATTGCACATTGCAATGACTTAAATTCAAAGTATGTTATACATATCTCTACCTCGAATATTAACTTGTAATATTTTGGTTAATACTTCTACAAATTCAGAGGAAAATTCTGTTGTAAGTAGTTAATTTTATTTATAGTACATTTATTTGTTCTTTCAATATGTAGCTAGTGCGTGAATGGTGATAATTGAAAAAAAAAAACAGAAATGAATACGTGTGTACGCATTCGTAGTTAATAATAATATCAACTCAACAGCTGTGTATTATTTAATTATTTTAAGAATAGTTGCAGATAATATTTTCCTAATATCTTTTTATCTTCATTTATTAAAAGACATCAAAAATGGTGCAACATTTGAAAGAATAAAATCTATAAAAATAGTAAATTTATTATAGAAAATTACAAAAAAAATATCTACAAAAGTATTGTGGGTAGATGGTAAGATTTTATTTACAGGAAACTGGAATAAAACGAAGTAACTCAAGGTATAAAATAAATAATGTATTTTTATCTATTTTCTTTAAAGTAAGTTCTTTGGTATTCGGTGTAGCAAATTTTTCGTTTATAAGGGGGACAATGGTATTCAATTGGAGGACCTCCAGTAGTGTAGTCTTGAAGTCAGACCATGATAGGGGTAGTAGTAATATCAGAAAAAGGTCATTGACAATTTACTGTGGTTTTCTCAGCACTAAGCAGGGCAAAAATATCATTAAAGATGACCTCTTAACTACTTCTTCACGTGTCACTCATAGCTGGTTTCTCTACGGTAACGTCTTTTGTTGGCACTCTCACCGTCCCATCTGCTGCTAGCTCAAAGGTGTTAGCTTATATTCTTTTTACCAGGCTCCAAGACTTTAGCGCCAGCAATGGTTTCAGCTAACAACTCTTTGTGTTATTTTTTTTGATTGACCAAAAATATATTATTTTCCGGCATTCTTTTCTTTTTTCATTTTTTTTTATAACGGAAGTTATGCGTGGAACCTCCCTGTTTTTTTGTTAGTTTTCAGTTATTAATTAGTAGGCTCTGTTCCTGCAAACTTCCGACATTTTTCAGTCTATTTTTCTTCTTCTTTCTCTTTTTAATTGATGGTTGCCTTTTTGTTAGTTGAGAGAAGTATAAAAAGAGAAGTTTAGAGAATAAATCAAAGAAAGAGAAAGTGGTTTTAAAGAAAAGCACAAATGCAATATTTGAATTTGAATTCTTTTTATTTTTGTTTATGCAATTTATTTTTATATTTTACTTTTATCGGGACACCCTGCAGAACATTTTTGATGTTTTGTTATGAAAAATAACCCCATAGAAAAAATTATTCTTAAAAATAACAATAAAAAAATATTTGATTTTTAAAAATTTCAGTCTAACGCTTCTGTATCGATTTTTCGTTTTGCTTCAGATTTTCAAGATTTCTTTTTAAAATGTCCAAACATCAATTGTGATCTGCCGCGGTACACAATTGAAAATCATCAAAATAAAAAAAAATAAGGATGGGTGCAATCGCAGGAAAAATATTTTGCTAAAATTTGGAAGATTTGATTGATTCGTTTGATTCTTTACCGCTTATCAACACTTTGTAGGTTATTTAAAGCCACAAAGTATTTTTTATATTATAAGAATTTTACTTTTAGGTAATAATGATTTGCTTTTGCAAGATTTACTAATTAGCCCATAGCTGGGGGAGAAGCGGTGGAGTCATATCTTTCCCAAGAGTTGTTGCCCGACCATAAATGGAATTCGACTCTCCGATGTTCAATTTCGAGCAGTTATCCTTCAACCTTTCCCATCAAACTTACAGCACCTGCTATTCACAAGCGTCACCCCCATCTAGATACTAAATAGACAAGGCAGTGTTCGGGATTTCAACGTGATATGGCTATAAGTCTAAAATTTGTAAGAGACTGCTTTCAATATATATATATATATATATATATATATATATATATATATATATATATATATATATATATAATGAGCAGAGTTGAATCAGACCAGGAAAAACAACAGGTATTAAAAGTGCTTAATACACGTATAATAAAAAATAAAATAAAAATAACATGTAGAGCTTAGCTTGTACTTTAAAAATTAGGAGATCAGTTGAATCATTTGATAAAAATCGCCTGAGGATACAGTACGGTTGAAACCAAGGTAGTAGATTAATGTGATCTCCTAATTGAATATATATATATATATATATATATATATATATATATATATATGGGAAAAACTTTTCCAATAATTAAATGAATTTTGGAAGATTTCGAAGTGTTTTACGAACCTTAAATACAACAATATATTTATGGTAACTATGTTTACACAAATTACAGAATAATTTTAAATTAAATAAAATATTTATATTAGATATTTTCTATTCTTTCGGATTTCGATTAGTAAAAGGGAATGCCCATAAAATTGTATCTTCACAGGTTTCATCCTCTGGGGTCACCTTGAAAATTGGCGATACCTCATAGATTTTTATTTTATTTTTAATCCTTTTATCCCAAACTACTAGGCAATAAAGCCACTTAAACGCTAAGTGCGAGAGAATATGAGACAAAAAAAAACTACTTTTAAGGAGAGAGGACAATAAAAGAAGAAGAATTAAGAAGACAGAAGATAACGATTGACATTGCATTTAAATGTTTGAAGATCAAAGGCAATAAAGCCACTAGGACGCAAGGGGTTACTGAGTGTTAGAGAATATGAGAAAAACTACTATTAAGGAGAGAGGACAATAGAAGAAGAAGAATTAAGAAGACAGGAGATAACGATTGACATTATATTTAAATGTTTGAAGATCAAAGGCAATAAAGCTACTAAGACGCAAGGGGGTTACTGAGTGTTAGAGAATATGAGAAAAACTACTATTAAGGAGAGAGGAGAATAAAAGAAGAAGAATTAAGAAGACAGAAGATAACGATTGACATTACATTTAAATGTTTGAAGATCAAAGACAATAAAGTAATTAATATATATATGTAATTCACATGGTCTCCAGACCACAGCTCAACAGGCATCGAGTTGAATCTGGTCAAGATCCAAAATATATAAAACTATCGTCGCAACACAATGCTACTTCTTTTATTGAAACACCTCTGTTTAGCTTCCATTTTACGTCATTAATAATGGTTGCTATGAGCGCCTTGTGTATTGGTTAACGATCAAAAACAAACCGTTTTAATAATATCTAAACTGTTGAATATATCCAAACTTGCAGTTGACCCCCAAAAAAAAAAAAACAAAAAAAAAACCCAAAACAAATAAACGCAAGAAGTCTAAAACGTATCCAAAAAAACAATATACTGTACGGTGGCAAATTATACTAGTGGCACCAGTATTAACCATCGAAACTTTTACCTCCTCTGGTGGTATTTAATTTTATGTAGATATATAAATATATATATATATATATATATATATATATATATATATATATATATATATATATTTAGTTTCAGTATATACAATATTTTAAAAGAAGAAAAACAAGCAAAGAATTAATCAGTAAAGTTAATGCAAATAAGTGCGATAGCACTTCGCTAACAGATTTAATAAAGTATTAACGAAATCATCACATTTTCATTATCAGGCGAAACTATTTTTTCATTTCAGTTAACTTCCAAGAGGAAAATAAATGTATTGCAGAAAATGATGATGATTTTCGAAAGTACTAGCAACGACAGAACATCTAATCCATCTTACAATTTTAAACATAAGGATCCTGTCATTCAACGAATGGTTAGTAAGATAATTCTTTATTAAATCTATATAAGTACATTAACTTTACTGATTAATTCTTTGTATGATTACTTCTTTATATATATATATATATATATATATATATATATATATATATACACACACACACACACATATATATATATATATATAAACCTACTGAGCCAGACAAACCTACCCAGGTTTCGCCTAAGCGGATCGTCAGGCTCACTAGGTTTATCTAGGTCTGCTCTACGGTTGTATTGAACTCTTTTGTTAGTTAGTTGTTTACTCGTGTCGGGGTTTTTCCTTTGGGCTTTAAACCTGCATCTGTGCGATTTTTTGTCGACAGAAGTTCATGTTTCTCATTCTTTCTTTTTTTAAAACCTTTTTTTCCCTCGAGATTGATTTGATTATTGGCAAATCAAAAATTCGAGGGTTTTTCGAAACGAGTATAGTTATCTATATTTGTATTTACATATCTATATATATATATATATATATATATATATATATATATATATATATATATATATATATATATACATACATATATATATATATATTGAAGCTTAAAATTATTTATATACATATACATGCTGATTGAAGCTTAAAAAAATATATATATATATATATATATATATATATATATATATATATATATATATATATAATTTTTATTTATTTAAAATATGATTCCAAATCGCAACATAAGAAGTCCCATGTTTCAAAAACAAGAGCTAAAAACTTCAATATAATTATTTAAATTATTTAAATTAAATTGAGTTAAAATAAGCTCTGTTCCATCTTCAAGCGAAATTTTTTTTGGAATAACGTGTTTCTGAAATTTACGTGTTTTAAAATTGAAATCAAAATTTCCATGGTAACAGCTAGGCGAATTGTTTTAAATTGGGTAGGCGAGTGTTGGGTGTT